GATTTTGTGCAGCAGAATCAGATCTTCCATACCCTCTTCGTGAATGAGATCTCACACATTTTGCAGAGTGGACCTTTAAAATGCATCAAAACACAGCTGGTGGTACTTTTGGTGAACTTACCGTAACCCTAAACTCTACCTCTACCTTTGTGGGGTGATCTTGCCATCTCCTCAAGATCAGTGAGTCGGTCGCAATAGTAAAGCGTAACTGTGCAAGGATGGATCAAACAAAGTGCTGTCCCCTTTCAATCTTTAACCAACTAAGTCAATCGCCATCGAACGATAGCTTGCCAATCTGCTTGCAATTTTGTCGGTTCACTGTTTGCGGACTCATGTCTGGGAGCGATGCATAGCCAGCTGCTGGTGATGCCAAAAACAAGACCTTGATGGATTCGGCCCAAATGAAACCATGAAAGGAACTACACATGTGATCAAATTTAGGCTTTTGATGGCTTTTGTAGATGCACAATGAAGCACTTCTTAAAGACAACAGCACCAGCCTGGGATTATTTTGCCACTGGATTCTTCTACCGGCTTTGACCGTTGCACTATGTTGCACTAACCCATAGTAATCCATCTTGCTTCTTGGGATGACCAGTTGAGTCCTAAGTGCACACTTTCTTTGTTCCTGTGAGTCCGAACAGCTTCCGCAATTTCGCTTGGCTGCCCCAAGCGCTTTGCCTTGAGAGCTGTGTGGCTGGTGTTTTGTTGGGCAGAATGAGCTGGGCCTGTAAGGGCTCGGCTCTTTGTTTAGGGACATGAATGGTGGTGGTCTTCCAACAAAGGGCTAAGCAAACAAAGTGGGACTGCCGATGAGTACTCAGTACTGGAAGGACATCGAATCTAATAGCTTCTGATTTCCGCCAGGTCTGCTCGTTCGCTTGACTTACTTTTTACCCTTTGCCTCCACTAAGTCTGGCCAAGGTGGCAGCAAAAGAACTAATTCGGTTGCCCACGCCTTGCTGGCCATGTGCTGCTTCCAGCGCTCAAAACTTGTTCAAAGGGCACCTGTACAGTAAACCTAAGATCGTGAGATTCCACCTTAGAAAGCTGAATGAACGGTGTAGGAGCACACTTGTTTCAGTGCGCTGCCTTAGCCACTGGTCACTGGCAGTCCAATCTGCTCTGCCAGAATCGTCCGCACACGGCGGCGCGCTGGGGATGTGCGGAAAGAGACTTCGGAGGCAACGAAGGATCCCAAGCTGGGTGTTTCATCGGCCTCCTGCAATGTTTGCCAACAGTGCAGCAACAAACAAAAAGTTGAGATCGAAAGCTAGGGCAGCTAGGGCAATCGGTTGCAGCAAAAGCGTGTCGCGGTCCGGTGCAATCTAAGTTCAAAGAATCAAGGATGCATAACCATAATGGCCAGCTTAATACTTCCTTATTGATGTACTGAACTATTACTGTATTGGCCTCACAACAAGAACCAACTCAGCAGGCTAACTCTGGCTTTCGTATGCTTTCGTGATCTAACACCAGGACTGCCTCGGGAGTTGAATTCTTTCTCAATCCTGTAGTATCAGGCAGTTCTAGACTCCAAAAGAATTACAAAAACCAAGGCTGGGTGACATTTCCTGGCAAGGGATCGTACATCTTGTACCAAATTACTTGCTGGATCTTGTTGGAGCTTTCCGTTGTGACTCATCTCGAAGATCTTCTTCTCGAAGCCGATCTGCTGAGCGCCACCCCCCGACTTGTTAAGGCTTCTAATCAGGCCCCTGCATACTTTTGTCAAATTTGTAGCCTGTTATAGCCATATCAAAACCACGATGTGCAATTTAATGCTGAGCCTCTTTTCGGCAAGTCTTGTCAGGAGTTTCAAGGGAATCTTGTTAGCATTTGGGCATTCAAGTGTCAGGGAGGTGAAATGATGCGAAAAGGTTTCTAACTCCCTGCAATTTGCTCATATGGAGGGTTCATGATGAAGAATGCAACGCCCGCCTCCTGGATGGTGTCTTTGCTCTCGGGCGCAGCTTCACGCTCTGGGGAGGGCAAAGCCATGAGCACCACACTCAACAACCTGAAATCTCGTGTCAGTTCCGGAAATCACTGAAAGTGGCGTTATTTCACATCTGGAGAGAAACCAAAAACACAAAACACACACAAATGCAGATCAAGCCGATCCGAGTGGCATGCAAGCTGCGCCAAGGATCGTCAAGGTGCTGGGGATTTCTTGGAAGAAGAACACCTGAGAAAGGTAGCCAGATACCATACCTGGACAGTGTCTCACTGGCCACAAAAAACGACACATTTTGCCCATTTGCCCAAGCAAAATCCTTGTACGTAGAGAGAAGGCGTGGGCAAAAATACACTCTCAAGTTGCTATATATTGGCCTGAGATGCATGAGGAGGTGAAAACGGTGGCACTCACTGCAGCAGGGCATCTGGTACTACCAGCTGCAGGCAGTACGATGGATAAGGTGGTGAGAAGCACCAGGAGCAACACAATGAGCATCGCCGTCCCAGGTTCTGCCATAACGGGTTGCCAGCTCGCATGCACCATGGGCAGCATAGGTGGCAAAAGTGACACGGCAGTACCCAGCAGCAAATTACAGAAAGTAAGGATGCCTACAGATACGTCAGCGGACTTCCGCGCGCAAATGAAGGAGGCTGCCTGGAGGAGGCCTCCCAAAGTTCAAAGTCAAGACCTTGAACACATTTCAACCAAAGCTTAAGTTAAACTATGTTAAAATAAACATGACATTTTGCGTAGCAAACCATTTCACACAAGGTATCACAAGGTCCACCATTCTACTTCCGTCTGGTACGGGTACCACCTCAGACATTGGGTGCCATGTTCACTTCGTGCCTGAAAATAAGGCCAATACAGAGCCTAGGTTGCTCCGATGCTCTCCCTCTTCAAGGCCAAAGATGAACTCAGGCTTGGAGATAAATATCGCACCCACAGCAGATATTACAAGAGCAAAGAAATGCAAGAGGCTCAGCTTTTCACCCAGAAAGACTAGGCCCAAAAGCGCAGCAGCGATTATGTCGACGCCTGCACCGTCAGTGCAACTACTTTGACTGATAAAAGTATGAGACACGCTTTGCTTTCTAGATTTTTTGGATCACTCCACTAATCGCAACTTTATATGTGCTGATTAAACTCAGAATTTGCGCATCTGCACATACACTTTGACTTGCATGCATACAAAGGGGTGCAACAATTTGATTGGCCCTGGCTTATGACTCTATGACCTTGTGAACACTATTCGATCACAACACTCCACAATCCTTCCTATTGACATCCAGGAGACTGCTCAAAGCTGCAACGTCCCCGGGGGACGCGCCCACCAGCACTGCAAGGACCATAGAATGCCATTGTAAAGATTGGAGAAACGACCGAGACACCACCCACTTCCTTGTTGGCCAAGGATTCAAATCTTTTGAACCTCGAAGTTAGTTCCAAGTCCAATAGGCCCGAACAGCTTGAACCAAACAGTCCACTTCTTGTTGACAGGCTTTCTATTTTGCCGTTCCCAATGGTAAGACCTCGACAGCAAAGACCCTTACATACCCCTACAACAGAAAAAGTAAGCGACCGAGATAGTAAGACATAGAAGCCTAAGTATAGATCCCAAGCATGGTAAGCCGCGCACAAGAAGAACGAGCGATGCTCTTTGTTACTAGTAGCTTCTTGTTACTAGTAGTATGGCCAGGAGCTACTAGTAGCATCCTTGCTCCTGGTAGAGATGCCCTTTGCTACTAGTAGAAATGAGTAAAGCTCAACAACGATCTGAGTAGACCAAGCTTCAGCTCTTCCAGCTTGGGCCAAGCAACGCCAAGGGCACGCAACATCGCCCCATTGACCCCTCTCAGTGTTTTTGGTGGTTTTCACTTTTCTCATCCTTTCTCACTTCGGCAAAAGAACAAAACATCTAAACGAATTCAACCAATGTGTTTTCATGACAAATAACTAAACGTCAATATGTTGCATGATGTTTCATGTAGAATGTATATCAGTATAAAAATGCATACGTGACTGTGACATACTGCAACTAGGTAGGTGTGGTATTGTTTCATAGAGCTTTTGATGTCAATGCAAGGGTCCCTGCCTGTAGCAACCAAACAAACCCCAGAAATGAGATACCAATATGGCCATCCTGAGTTCTCAATGAGCTTGCTGGCCACCATATCACCGGTGACAAATATGCCGCTGGCAATCATCAAAAGGACCCCGCACATCTCGGTAGAAAGCGGCATGCTAGCCAAGATGTGTCGCGACCACTGTGTGCTTGCTACAGGCTTGGGTCCAAAAGCTGCAATTTGTGATGCCTCCAACCTAGTAGCGATGGCCTCCTACCTAGTTGCAATGGCCTCCAACCTAATAGCGATGGCCTCCAACCTAGTAGCGATGGCCTCCAGCCTAGTAGCGATGGCCTCCAACCTTGTAGCGATGGCCTCCA